AGCACGGTTTAGGGCTGTTGTACATAGGGTGGCTATGAGTCGCAAACGACTCGACGGCACATAACAACAACAACAGCAACAACAAATTTAAAATTGAAAGGGTCATTGCTTTTCAACTTTAATTTTCTTTTTAAATTATAGTGCTATAATGGAACTTCAATTTTATCTTTTGTGAGAATTTGATTAGGAAAATGTTTAGTTCTTTTTGAGTTGGTGATAGATTTGTTTGGTTAGGTAAGAATTTATGAATTCAAAATAAACAAATTTAGGATAAGGACTTTCATGTATTTGTTATGTCCTAGCTTAGCATGGGATGGGTCTTGTCTTAGTCTAATGTTTTTTTTTTCTTTATTAACAGCACTGAGTAATTTGCTTTGCAATAAAAACTTCTGTATAAAACCTGAAACAGTTGAGTTGTCCTCAACTTCCTTAACTAGAAGTTTTTGATGACTGAAGTAGTAGTTTTTACTGTTGGGTAAATATTATGTGGTTTGTTCATTTGTTGATCCATAAACTTAGACATAGATTGCCTGGCTAGTGTAAATATTTAACATGATTAAGATGCTTAGAAACTGGTTGAAGGTTCATGTCCATGCAGAGATGTTTCTTGGAAAAAAAGCCTGACACTGCACTTCTGAATGATCAGCCACTGAAAATCTTATGGATCAAAATTCTCTCTTTTTTTTTAAATTTATTTTTGTTTTTAATTTGGTATACCATTGAATTGGATCTTACTGGTACAGGAGAAATTTACCCTTTCTCCTCCAGCGGAGTATCTGGTGGATTCAAACTGCGCATCTTTGAGATTCCAGTGCAGCGTCTTGCCACTAGGGCACCAGAGCTCGCTCAGAATTCTCTTTTGACACAAATAGGGTTGCCATGAGTCAAAATCAGCTTAGTGACAACTAGTAAACTTGTACATATGGAGGGGTTGTGAGTTTGTTAATGTGATCAGTTAAAATGATTTTTGCAATTCAAATACAGTATTCCTATTTTTATGTATATGACTTGTTAGGGAGATAATGACTTCACTGAGATAGCATATGCTGAAACACATTAAAAAAAGCTTTTGCAAAATATGCAGTGTCCTTTTTTCCTATCAGCTAGAAATTAATTAAAATAATATTTTAGGGTACTTTTACAAAACTACATTCCATGTAACTATGGAATGATCTCCAGAATATACCTAGCAGAGCTAAAAGGTAATATTAGAACTATGCAAGCACTTGCCTGGACAGAAATCACTCTTAAGAAATACTCAAGCTACCACAACAAGATAAAGGTAAACAGTTCAGTTGAAAAATTGGCACAGGATATGAACAGACACTTCACTAAAGAAGACATTCAGATGATGAACAAACACATAAACAAATGTTCAAAATCCCTAGCTCTAGAAGAGATGCAAATCAAACAACTATGAAATATAATCTCACTCCAGTAAGAATAGCAAAATTTAACAGGACAAATGCTGGTGAGGTTGCAGAGAAACTGGAGCCCCTATTCACTGTTGGTGGGAGTGTAAAATGGTGCAACCACTATGGAAGGCAGTATGATGCTTTCTCAAAAAGTTGCAGATACCATTTGACCCAGCAATTCCACTACTGGGAATTTACCCTAAAAAAACATAACCACCACCCAAGCAGATATATGTACACCCATGTATATTGAGGTTTGTTCACAGTAGCAAAGAGTTGGAAACAACCTAAGTGCCCATCAACAAACAAATGGATAGGGAAACTATGGTATATTCACACAATGGAATACTATGCTGCATTGAAAAACAAGGAACTCATGCAATATTATTCAAAATAGGTGACCCTGGAAGACATTATGCTGAATGGAAATATCTCAGTTACAAAGGGATAAATACTGCATAGTGCCACTGTTGTAAAAAGGGACTGACATCGGAGTTCGGGGGAGACTGAAAAAGATAGAATAAATTATGTATGCTGCATTGAAACAGATGGAGGTGAGAACTGTTTAAAAGGGATAGTGATTTGGTATTATTGTCATGACAGGAGTCCAGAACAAAGGCTGCATAGTGGAGTGGACATGAGGGGAGGGATTTTATAACAATGAAAGACGTTTTCTTTTATTTTTCAAAGAGAAGAGTGAACTGGTGGGGGGAAGGGTGGGCAGGGAGAAAAGTGCAACAATGAATGGAAATCCAAAGTCTCTGTAAATTATCATTAAAATTAATAATAATTTTAAAAAAAGAAAAAGAAATAATCTGTCCTCAAGGGAGGAACCAAAGATGTTTGTCCTTACTGTGGTCAATATTCTGAGTTTGTTGGGGTTTTTTCTCATTTATTTTTTATTGGTTTACATATACTCTTTTATATACATGGTGGCTTTTTTTTTCTTTTTTTTTAAATTTATTATTAATTTCAATCAAAATTTACAGAGACTTTGGATTTCCATTCATTCATTGTTGCACTTTTTCCCCCTCCCAACCCTCCCCCCTAGGACATTACCCTCTTGAAAAACTCATGGGAAGGTCAGCTGTGTGTCAGTTCTGACTGGACAAAAATAAGTTTTGAGTTGAGTAATTTTTAAAAAAAATATGCCATTGAGGGAGCTCTGGTGCCCTAGTGGCAAGAAGCTGCACTGCATTCCCAGAGGTACACAGTTCAAATCCACCAAAGGCTCTGCTGGAGAAGGAGGGCAATCTCCTCCTATACCAGTCAGATCTGATTTGACAGTACACACACACACACACAAAATAGTAAAAGAAAAAAAATTTTTTTAAATGTGCCATTGGCTTTTACTTGCTAAGAATTTATTATAACAATACCTTATGGGTTATGGTTGTGGATTGAAATGCCTGTCCCTGGCCAGCACACCCTCCCCTCAGAAAACTATATATTGAGGAGCAGTGATGTAAATTTGAAAACTAATGTGCTCCTGATTCAGGCCATGGTCTTTTCAATTACTTGAAAAGCATCTGATCTGGACAGTGAATAAGGATGACAGAAGAGAAAAAATGATGCCTTTAAAATGTGGTGTCTGAGAACAGTGCTGAAGATCCCATGAACTGCCAAAAGAACAAACAAATAAGTCTTGGTAAGGTGAAGTTCGCGTTCGTTGGAGGTAAATGTGATACAGCTTCATCTCACATACTTTTGGCTTGTTGCTAGGGTGGTTATTCCTAGCAGAGGGACATGATGAATAGAAAGGTTGGAGGGTCGGTTAAAGAGAGGTAGACCCTCAACTGGATGGTTTGAAACAATGACCGCATCAGTGCATCAGTAAGATGACCCAGTTATTGTTGTTTTGTTTTTCAGGAGATGATTTTTCTTTGATTCAGCAAGAAATATTTATGGTTAAAGAATGTAAACATTGCAACATTGTTGCCTACTTTGGAAGCTATCTCAGGTAATTATAGAAATAACTACTTTCTCATTGCTTTTACATTCTCTTTGTTACAACTTTTCCTCCCTTTCATGAAAGTAATATATGTAAATTTAAAACATTTTCCAAAGTTCTAAAATTTCTAGGATTTTCTTTACTGTCTCTTATATTAACAGTGACACCTCCATTTATATTCTTACATTATCTGGCAACCATACTGAAATTTTTTGAGAGGTTAAAGGCAACTGCTTCAATTGTAGATTAAAGAAAACTTTAGCCATAGTCTAAAACATTTGAGAGGAGAACAAAACTGAAAATAATGTGTGTTTTTAAATTTGAAGAGGGACTGTCAGGGCAATGTCCTGTAAAACCCTGAACCTTGTGCTGAAACGTGAGAGCTTTCAGGTTATTTCATTGATTGACAATTATGAGTTAATATAATTTTCCTTTTTTTTTTTACACATGAGTCGAGAGAAACTGTGGATTTGCATGGAATACTGTGGTGGAGGATCACTTCAGGATATTTACCATGGTACTGTAAATTTTACTTTAGGGGTTTTTTTTGCTGGGGGGGCGGGGAAGGGAGGAAACCAACTTAATTCGCTTTATTTTTGTTACACAAAATTCACTATGTGGTGGCCACACCAGGAGCCTGGGTCCTCTGCATGGAGACTCTGGTGTGAGTCATTACTATATGGTCAATGAATTCCTAGTAGGGAGATTTGGTGAACACTTTACATACATTTTAAAATTCACTTGACTTTAGTAGATTACCCTTTGTTCAGTTAACCAGGAGTATATATTTATTGATTTATATTTTTAATATTATGTAAAAGAAGCCTAGATTTTATCTACTGTTGATTACTAATATTTAGTAAAATACAAACCAAAGTTTTGCTGTCAAGTTGATACCAGTTGTTTATTTACTACTCTTAATTAAATTTGCCTGGTCCTGAGCTAAAGAAAGCCAAGGGGGCTTATGAGAAGGAACTGCATTGCCAACTCAAAGGCACAAGGTTCGAATCTATCAGCTGCACACAGAAGAAAGATGGACTGTCTCCTCCCATGTGATTTATTGCCTTTGAAAACCCACTGGAGGGTCAGCTATAAGTCAGTTCCAATTCAGTGGTACCTAACATCACACCACCACCTAATTCAGGTGTTAAGACAAAGTTTTAATATTGGAAATGATAATTTTTCTTTTAATTTGGCATATTTTATTTAATTTTATGTTAATGTAGGCATTTAATTGCCTTTTACTTAGTTTAATTAATGTTTAGATGTTTGGCTTTACAGTTTAATTTCCAGTTTATTACTGAAAAATTTCTGAATTTCTAGAAATTGAAACTAAAATTGAATTCTTATAAAATAATTTTTCTTTTCCTTATTTAAATTAACATTGAAGTAAGGAATAGTAAAAACTCCCTTCCATTACAACTGTATTACTATATTATTTGAAAATATTTTTTAACATTGATACCAGATTTCAGCCATGTTGGTTACAAATCCAATCACAGTAGACATAAAACCAGAAATACTTTCCCATTGTGAATAGTGGTTTATAAGCTGTTGATGAGTTTTTACAGTAGCAGCTGTCTTAGTTACCTAGTGGCTGCTCTAACAGTAATAGGACAAGTAGATAGCATTATTCTCTCACAGTTTAGGAGACTGGAAGTTCAGTTTTAAGATGTCAGCCTTAGTGTAAAAGTATTATATTTTAGGGCATTATGTTTATTGTAAGAGTACGGAATGAGGGTTGCAGAGTGGATTATATTTGGGGTTGGGGTGTGGTTGAGGGATGTGCGGGGGGGATTGTGTACCAATGAGGGAGTTTTTCTTTTGCTTTTCAAGGAGAGGAGCAAAGGTGGGGGGGTCGGGGAGAAGGGTGCAACAATGAATGAATGGAATTCCAAAATCCCTGTAGATGTTCATTGAAATAAAAAATAAATAAATAAATTTAATTTTAAGAGAAAAGATGTCAGCCCTGTGGAAAACTTTCTCTCTCAGCTCTGGGAGAAGGTCTTTGTTTCCTTTTGACATCTCTGGGCCTAGTGTTCCTTGGTAATCTCCATGTGTGTTGATATGAGTCTTCGGAGTCTAGGAAAGCTCTTGGTGCAGGAACCTCTTCATTGTTGGTAGAACTGAAATCCTGCTTTCTGGGCTCACTTCTCATTCCTTTTATCTCTTAAAAGATAAAGGGTATTGCATGCTATGCCTAGACAACTCCCCTTACTTCACATCCACACCGTAACCTCCTAATTCCATCTCACTAAGGTAGCAAAGATAATATAGTTCTAATTAGTGTAGCCTAATGCTGCCTCTTTAATAAAGGATAATGTTGTTGCTAGGGTTCTTTGAGTCAATAATAACTCATCACGAACCTGTGAACAACTCTAAAACTTGTTCCATTCTCATCATCTTTAATATACTTGAGCCAATTGCTGTAGTCACTGTCAGTCCAGCTTGTTGAGTGGTAACATACCCCAAATATGTGAGACTAAGCTTCATCACATCTTTGCCTCTAAGGAGCACCCTGGTATATATATTTTGTCCACAACAGGATTTATAGTACATCACAGTATGGAGGAGATTTACACAGTACTGGGAATCATGACTTAGTTAAGGCAACACATATTGGGGGGGGGGATGAATCCAGACTATAACATCAATCAGAATAGGGTTAAATAAACTATATTGCATTCATAATATGGATTACCTTGCAGCATTTAAAAAGGAGCTCCAAATGTTTTGACTTGGCCACATTTCCTTTAGGCCTGTTTTTAAATGGAAAAAGTAAATAATGAAAAAAGTATTTAGACTATTTGATAAACCCAGATGTTTTAAAATTCTGTTATCTAAGTATTTACATGAATTTAAATGCCTAGAAAAAGCAAAGAATGCATGACAAATTGATAAGCCACTGCTTTGAGAGAAGTAGGAGTTAAGAATTTTTAAGGAAAATTAATAAAATTTTTAAATTATGATCATAAAAATATATTGAAAAATATTAAAGTTATCTGATTATGCCAAAATATATTTAACAAAGAAAAAGTCAGTACTGATGCCTAAGTTTCAACTATTGACTGTTTATTTAAGATAGTATTAAACACTATATACAGCGTGCACAAAATAGTAAGAATTATACTAACGTTTTGGTGTGTATTTGTTTGGTTTGTTTTTTGTGGTTTTGGTTTTGGGGGTTTTTTTTAGAAACTAGTTGCATTTTTTGAAAAAGAATGTATTTGATTTTTTTTTTTTAGTTGTCTCTCATTTTCTTATATGTCACATTAAGTTAAATATCCCAATGGGGAAAAATCTTGTGTACTATGTTGTTATTGTTGTTTACTGTAGAATTAGAACCAACCCACAGCTCACCCTCCAACAGGTTTTCAGAGGCAGTTACTCTCACAGGAGGAGATTGCCCTTCCTTCTCCTGTGGAATAGCTGTTGGCCTCGAACATGGCCTTTGGAATTGCAGCACAGTGTCTTGCCACCAGGCCACCAGAGTATAGAAGTCCTTATTTAGTTAGAATGGATTCTCAACATGGAGGATTTTTATTCCAGTTTAAAAGAAAATTCTGACTATAATATCCCATTGTTTATTTTAAAGTATGAATTGTTGAAAATAACTTTGTCACTGATTTTAAATTGTATATAGTTTTATAAAGAATAATGATATATATGTGATGAATTTTTAATTCTGTATTTACACATTTTATGAACACTCAGAAAATGAGAATTCTAATAATTTTTTAAACTTTTATTTATTTTTCTTTTCGTGTACCGTCAAGTCGGATCCAACTGGCACAGGAGGAGATTGTTCCTCCTTCTTCAGCAGAGCAAATGGTGGATTTGAACTGCTTTCCTTCAGGATTTCAGTGCAGCTTCTTTGCCACTAGGCCACCAAAGCTCCCTCTGTTACATTCTTTAGAGCTTTCATTGATGCTTAGTACTTTACATAGCAAAAAGCTCACTACTGTCGTGCCAATGCCAATTCGTAGCTCACCTTCCAGTGGGTTTCAGAGGCTGTAAAGATACAGGATTAGGTTATCCTACAGAGTTGCCACTGGATTCAACTCAGCTACCTTTAGGTTAATAGCATAACTCCTTACAGACTATGCCACCAGGGTCCAAACAATCTCTTCTTTTCACAGTGCATTAAATAATATCTCAACTTTTTGTTGTTGTTGTTTTGCTGCTTTTGCTTCTTGATTACAAAAATAATTCTTTCTCATGGAGCTCTGATGGAGCTTAATGGTAAGGAATTGCACTACCAACCTCGTGCCAGACAGTTTAAATCCAGCTGCTGCTCTGCAAGAGAGAGACAGTCTCCTCTCAAGTGATTTATACAGCCTCTGAAGACCTACCAGAGGGTCAGCTATCATTCTCGTTCTGAATCAGTGGCACAGAATACCATTGTGTTTAAAATGAATTCAGATATATACAGGTATTTTAGAATAGCTTTTCCTTTCTAAGGAGACATTTTTATTCTTTGTGCTCAAATTATAACCTTGTGATCTTTTCTTTCCCCCCCTTTCTAGTTACTGGGCCATTATCAGAACTGCAAATAGCCTACGTATGCAGAGAAACCTTACAGGTAACATATTCTAGGTAGAAGAATAATTCTTCCATAATGATAGTCTATCCAATAGAAAAAGGGTAAATAAATTATTTTTATGTTAATCTCTTTTAATTCTATAAAGGTATTTCTTTTGTGAATCAGTAGACAGACTTTATTTAAACTGGTCCTGCTAGATCCAGTGGTCATGTATGACATTCTTATTTTGCCAGTTGGCCCTCAGTTGCGACAGAGCTATTGTTATTGTTAGGGGCCATTGAGTTACATATGACTCATAGTGACCCTATGAACAAATCTGAACCCATCCTGAGCCAACCTCACAATCTCTGACATATTTGAGCCATTGCTGTAGTCTCTATGTCAGTCCATCTGGTCTTCCTATTTTTCACTGTCACCCCACCTTTCCAAGTACAATGTCCTTCTCCAAGGAATAACCTCTTCCAGCAACATGTCCAGAGTATGTGAGATGAAGCTTCACCAACCTTGCTTCCTGGTTTCACCTTCTCTAAGAATTATCTGTTTTGTTCTTTTGGCAGTCCATGGGATATTCAGTACTCTTCTCCAGCACCACAGTTCAAAGGCATCAGTTTTTCTTCTGTTATTCTTAATTCATTGTAGTGATTAAAAAGACCATGCATGGTCTCAATCATGCACATGTTAGTCCTCAGACTCGCATCATTGTTCCTTATTAATTTGGAAAGTTCCCTGATTTTTTTTTTTTTAAAGTTCTGTGGTTTCAGACATTCCCAATACAATATGTCTCCTGACTCCTGGTACCAGGTGTTTTGATTATAGATCCGAATGAGATGAAATTGTTTACAGTTTCAAACTTTTCTCCATCTGTCATGATACTATTGTAGTCCAGTGGTGAGAATTTTTGTTTTTCTTGACATTGAGATGCAATTCATATTGATCTTCTACAGCAAGTGCTTCAGTTCTTCCTCATTTTAACCGAGCAAGGCAGGGTTGTGTCATCTGCATACCAAAGGTTATTGGTGAATGTTCCTCCAATCCTTATGCCATATTCTTCATAGAGTCCAGCTTTTTGAATAGTTTACTCAGCATAGATTAAATAGGTATAGAAAAAGGCTACAACTCCAATGTATACCTTTCTTCTTCATTTTAAACCTTGTAGTGTTCCCTTGAGGAGAGCTCTGGTGTCCTGGTGGCAAGAAGCTGTACTGCAATCACAAAGGCACATGGTTCAAGGCCACCAGCTGCTCCACGGGAGAAAGATGGGCAGTCTCCTCCCATGAGATTAACTGTATCTGAACACAGGAGAGTCAGCTATGAGTCAGTTCCTACTCTAGGGTGCATAACAACAGTTGTATCCTTGCTCTGCACAGTAGTCTCTTGTCTAGGTACAGGTTTCACAAGAGCACAATTAAGTGTTCTGAGAGTCCCTTCCTTCTCAATATTAGCCATAATTTGTTATGATCCACACAGTCAACAGCCATTACGTGGTCAGTAAAGCACATATAGTCATTCTTTTGCTATTCTTTACTTTCTTCCATGATCTGACATCAGCAGTGATATCCTTGATGCCACAGTCTCTTCTAAATCTTGCTTGAATGTCTACTAATTCTCTGTCTGTGTGATCTTCAGTATTTTGTTTGCAATGTGGTATTAATGATATTGTTCAATAACTTCCACAATCTGTTGTATCACCTTTCTTGGGAATGGGGGGAAAATATGGACCTCTTCCATTTCGTCAGCCAGGCAGCTGTCCTCCAGATTTCCTGGCATAGACTGGTTAGCATGCCCAGGGTTGCATCTGTCATTTGAAACATGTCAGTTGGAATCCCGTCAATTCTGGGGGTGTTATTTTTTTGCCAGTGCTTTCATTGCAGCTTGAACTTCTTCCTTCCTTACCATTAGCTCTTGATCATATGGTATTTCCTGAAATATCTTCATGTCAGCTAGCTCAGTACAATGATTCTGTGTATCCCTTCCATCATCAGGAAATTTTCGTGATCACTCAAGATTTTGCTCATAGCATCTCTAAATAGCAGCTCGAGGTTTGAATTTCTTTTTTCAGTTCTTTAAGCTTGAGAAATGCTGGATGAGTTTTCACTTTTTGTTCTTCAATTTTAGGTCTCTTCATATTCTGTTATAATACTTTGTTTTCTCTAGCTGCCCTTTGAAATGTTCTGTTTGGTTCTTTTCACTTCAGCATCTCCTCCCTTTGTCTTGCCTTCTCAGTGCTCTAGTGCAGATAGCAGTGTTCCTTCTGACATCCGTTTTGGTTTTTCTCCCACCTTTTGTCTTTTTATTGACCTTTTGCCCTATTCATGGATAATAATATCCTTCATATCATCCCATATGTCATTTGATCTTTGATCAGTGATGTTCAGTGCTTCAAATCTGTTCTTAAGGTGATTTGAAAAATCAGGTGGGGTAAACTCACGATCATGTTTTGGTTGTCTTGGACTTGATTTATATTTCTTCATTCACATTTGGAATTCGCACATGAGTAAATTGATGGTTTGACCCACAGTCGTAACCTGGCCTTGTTTTAACTGCTGATATTGCGCTTCTGCAGTGATTCATTCCATACATGTAGTCAGTCTTATTCCTTTGCAGTTAATGTGGTGAAGTCCATTTGTAAATTCATCATTTGTGTTTTTTAAAAAATGTATTTCCGATGAATAAATCATTGAATGTATTTTCCAACTAGTAATCACAAACGATCCAGTAGAGTCTTCCCTTAAAGTTTTGCGTCAGCAGAAAAAATTTTGTGCACAAGACAAGAGTGCTTTTTATCTTTGCTCTTGACATGAGAATATATTAGCAAATTAATAACCTAAAGTATGATCTGAAACCCTAGTTATAGGATAGTAAAAAATGTCATTGACAACAGAATACTTTTTCTTAGGTAGGAAATCATCGTATTAAACAAGTTACTTTAGAGCATGTGAGTACTTTTCATATGATGCAGTGATTGTGTATTTTCACCAGGAGTATAGGTTATATAATATTTGGCTCGATTTATTTGACCTTAAAATTTTCTGTTCATAACCTTTAGCGTTAGGTTCTTTTAATGATGTATCTGAAGTCAGATTAACAATAGCAACTCAGTAGAGTAGATAGCAACCTGAAGGAGCAGTGCGTTTATGTTAAAGTGAGTATAGTTTGACAACTCAGAGACTGTTATCAGTGTTGTACAAACAGAAATTGATGAATTGATGTATGTTATGTATATTCACAACACAAAAAACCCTAAATTGGCATTTAAGGTGGAAAAAATTATTTCCAGGCAATATATTCGAGACTTTCTCCAGTCTCTATTAAGTATGAAATACTATCTCACAGTTTTACTCCTTTTGATTAATTCTATCTACTGGGTTCTTGGTAATGGTGTTCAGTAATGGCTACTGGCGCTAACCCTGTAGAAGGAACTGCTGATACACATATTAACAGGAATGAATGTCAAATTAATTGTGATAAGTAAAAGAAGTCAGACTAAACAAATATATATGATTTCACATATATAAAATTCTAGGAAATGCAAATGAAAGCAGTTTCTTATTATTTGCTGGTTTTGGAGGAAGAGGAAGAAAGAAATAACTAAAATTTCTAGCATACCATATACCCTTGACTAAGTGGATTGATACAGTGATTGTAGCAATAGGTTTTAGTATATCAGAGATTGTGAGGATGGCACGTGCTAGGACAGAGTTCATATCTGTTGTTCATAGGGTTGCATGAATTGAACTCGATTTGATGGCAGCTGACAACAGTAGTAGTACCTCAACAAGCAGAAGGTGGATGGATAACCCAGATACAAAATGGGCAGAAGTTCTGAGAAGACTCTTCATCATAGAGAAAATTCAGATGGCCAGCAAACAGATGAGAAGTTTTCAAAAAATCACTAGAAATAACTCATTCACTAAAGGATAAATACCACATAAGAGGGCTATTGCGGAACTAGGATAACTGAGGTGCAGAGCTGAAATCGAATGTACAGATGAACACTGTAGAAGACCAGGACACAGGAGGATTAACCTGAAACTAATCAATGTAAGGACAGTTTGGCTATTGTAATTAGCAGTTAGGAACAGGATATGTATAGTTATTCAAAAGGGGACAAGGCAAGAGAACATGGGGTGAAAGAAAGGAGAGGGGGGAAAATCACTAGGACGGCAAAAATTAGTGGATGGATGACAATGTCAATGAGTAGACAAGGTGAAATGAGGACTTCATGAGATGGGGTAAACAAAGCATAGATAAATATTAATTATATGAATGTGCACAAACCAATTTTTTTAAAAGCACACGAGCAAACTTTTCAGCTTGATGGTTATGTTTATTTTATTGATGTTTTTCAGTGTATACATATGCCAAACTTATTAATGGTGAACTTTAAGTGTGTGTGCTTTTATGACTATCATTAAAACTATTAATCCCCTCAAAAAACAAAACGAAACAAAAAACCCTGACATCCAAAAACTTTTCCAACAGGGTAAAAAGGAAAGCCACAGCCTGGGAAAAAGATTTGGTAATGACATATCAATCAGCTAAGGGACTTATATTCAGAATTTATAAAATACTGGAGCACCACAACAAGATAAAGGTAAATAATCGAATAGAACAATGGGCACAGGATATGAACAGACACTTCACCAAAGAAGACATTCAGATGGCTAACAAGCACATGAAGAAATGTTCAAAATCTTGAGCTCTAAGAGAGATGCAAATTAAAACAACTATGAGATATCATCTCACCCCAGTCAAAATAGCAAAATTTAACAAAACAGCAAGCAACAAATGCTGGCAAGGTTGTGGAGAAACTGGAACCCTTATTCACTGTTGATCGAAGTGTAAAATGGTGCAACCCCTGTGGAAAGCAGT